CCCATCCCATCCCATCCCATCCCATCCCATCCCATCCCATCCCATCCCATCCCATCCCATCCCATCCCATCCATCCTGTCCCACTGTGTCCTACCCTATCCCATCCCATCCCACTGTGTCCTACCCTATCCCATTTGCCCTGTCCCATCCCATCCTGTTCCAGCTCATTTCATCCCATCTCATCTCCCCAGTCCCATCCCTGCTGGGGCACAGCCCTGGCACACCTTGGGGGGAAAGCAAGAGCACAGGGAAGGGCAGGAAACCCTTTGGTTTGTGGGAAAAGGGAGGTTGTGGGTTTGTGGAAAAAGGGAGAGGACAAGTGGGATGGATCACCTGGGCTTGGGGGGAACAGGGATGTGACAGCAGGTGGGGACCTCCAATTAAGTGTCCCCTGTCCAGGCCCCTCTTGGGCTGTCCCAGGGATCCACAACCCCTGTCCAGAGCTGATCCATTGGGAGGGGACACCAGGAGCAGCTCTGGAATGGAGGTTTGTACATCCCAGTGCAGCTCCTGGCAGAGGGAAACCTGACTCTGGCTGTGGGAGACCCCACGCTGTCCCTATGGAGATGGCTGTGGATCACCAGATGTATTTATTCCCAGGAGTGGACTGAGCAGGATCGGGATAGAGCCATGTCCGTGGGGTGCCTGTGACCTGTGACCATGTGGACACACACAGAGCACGTGTGACCACAGAGGGACACTCCTGCATCCTCACGGTGTCCCTGTGTGCTCAGAGCTGTGCTCAGCCTCACCTTTGGAGCACCTGCTCTCCCCAGCCTGGATCCCACAGGATGCTCCTTCCCTGAGCTCTTTTCCCTCTTCTTCTCCCCACCATCTCCAGCATCTCCATCCCCACATGGCTCAGCCCCATTCCATGGAGTGGCTCCAGAGAGTGAGGGGATTCACCAGGGTCACTCAGACCTTGGGGGATTCACTGAGGTCACTCAGAATGTGGGGGATTCACTGGGGTGACTCAGACCTTGGGGGATTCACTGAGGTCACTCAGACCTTGGGGGATTCACTGGGGTCACTTAGACCTTGGGGGATTCACTGGGGTCACTCAGACCTTGGGGGATTCACTGAGGTCACTCAGACCTTGGGGGATTCACTGGGGTCACTTAGACCTTGGGGGATTCACTGAGGTCACTCAGACCTTGGGGGATTCACTGAGGTCACTCAGACTTTGGGGGATTCACTGGGATCACTCAGAATGTGGGGGATTCACTGGGGTCATTCAGACCTTGGGGGATTCACTGGGGTCACTCGTTCCATCTCCCTGGGCTCCCAGCAAGGACTGGGGTGGCTGAGAGACTCTGGCACCTCACGGTCCCTGTGGACCCCAAATGCCACATCCCAAGGGTGGCTCTGACCATGGGCTGCCCCTCATACACCAGGTCCCAGGCTGGAAAAAACCCTGGGCCTTGCAGCAGCTCGGGGTGGGGGTCTCTGGTGGGGAGAGGGAAATGTCTCCGTGTCCTGAGCTCTGGCAGGGAAGAGCCTGGGGAATGTTGGGCTGAGAGGGAGCCTGGAAGGAAAAAACACCGAGTGTGTGGCACCAGCTGTGAGGTTCCTTCCAACCCAGGCCATTCTTTGATTCCATGATCCCAGCTCCAAGGTGGCCACAGCCACCAGTGCTTCTCCCTCTCCCTCATCCCGAGCATGGGATGTCCCAGCTCCATCCCACCACAGATCAAGGATTCCTCGGCTGTCCACAGCCCCGTCTGCGTGCAGCACAGGCTGCACAAATGGCAGCAGCAAAGTTAAAACCACAAATCCCAGATGCAGCATCCCCGAGCAGCCTCGTTTGCCAGGCCTGGCTCTCCAGCTCAGCTCAGCTTGTGCTGTTCACCTGTTCCACAATTGCCTGGAAAAGCTCCTGAGGAACATCCAGGAGCAGGATGAGGGAGCTGCAGGTAGGGGCTGACACAGAATTCAGAATGGAAACACTGTATTGACAGACTTTACAAAAGTTATTACAAAACACAGTCACGAACCAGCAGCTGACGATACAGAGCGAAGAGACACCACGTACAGCCACCTCAGAACAACACCAACAGCTCCAGAAGTCATCCAATATTTACACAAACAGCTGGAAAACTCCGGGCAGTTATCGCATACATGGAAGTGTTTTAGAGCAACTGTGAAATATAGTGTCACACCTTTCTTTGTAGTATTATCATCATCATAATTAATAATAATAATAATAATAATTAATAATAATAACAGACTACTTCTAGGTTAACTAAAAACCAAACAGCTCTTTACAGGGGTTAGGAGAAGCTGCTTTCACTCGTCTGACTTACCTGAGTGAGACCAAACCCAGTTAAAAAATAATAATAAAGTCACCTTCATTGTCAGGAGTCCGTGTGTCGGCCCAGCGGCACCGTTCCCTCGGGCCAGAGGGGAACCAGAGCCTGGCTGGTGCCAGTGACACCCTTCAAAAGAACGGAGACGTGTCCTCCTGCTGTGAGCGACCCCAGCACGCCTCCAAACGCTGCCCTTCCCGTCTCCTCCTGCTCCAATGTCCTCAGCCCCTTCTCCTGCACCTGCTTTATCTCACCCCGCTCTTTGCCACGCTCTCCTCTCCGCTTTTCCGCCTTCCACAAATCCCGCGTCGTGCCCTGACCACCTCTCTGCCTCGCCTTTCTTGTCTTCATCCCAGTCCTGGCCTCGCAGCCTTTTCGGGACACGGCGACGCAGCGGGAGCGGGCGGCCGGCTGGGAACGGCGCCTTCCTTCCCTCCCTCCCTCCTCGCGCTTCCAGCCTTGCAGTGAAACGAGTGGAAAAAAGAAAGCGAAAGCTTGTCACTCCTGAATATGCACAAAGATAGGTGGGGGAACACCTGCTAAATACGGACCCCAGAGAATGGCTCGGGATTATTCTCTACGGGCAGAATCCAACCCTGCGTAGGGAACAGCGAGCACGGGGCCTGCGCCGCGGTGGAAGTGCCACGGAACCCCGCGGGGTCCCAGAGCTGCCTGGGCCGGCCGAGCAGAGTCTTTAAGAGGAATTCCTTGGATGCTTCACCAAAGCGGGCTTCGTAGCATGACCACATGGATTAGCTGCGATACAAGTCACCTGCCATCATGCTGCACGTCCACCTGCCAGACCGTCACGGTCACCGCGAGCCCTCCTGCCCCGGCCCCACCACGGCTACTGCTTAGTCTCTTTTTTCACGCAGAAATGGTCGGTTTGGGTGCCCGCCGAGCCCAGGTTGTGCTGGGAATCCTCGCCGGGCCGCGGGTTGCGGGAGTGGATTTTCTGGTGGCAATTCAGGGACTCTTTGTAGCGGAAATGCTTCCCGCAGACGGGGCACTGGTAGGGGGTCTCCCCGGTGTGCACCCGCCAGTGCTTGAGCAGGTGGTCCCGCCGGATGAAGCTCTTCCCGCACTCGGTGCACTGGTAGGGCCTCTCCCCGGTGTGGATGCGCTGGTGGCGGATGGCTTTGGAGAGGTCTCGGAAGTCCTTCCCGCAGTAGGTGCACGTCAGCGGCCCGTCGCCCTTCCCCGTGTGCAGCTTCTGGTGCAGGATCAGACTCACTTCCAGGCTGAAGCTCTCCTTGCACTGGGAGCAGGTGTAGGGCCTCTCCACCATGTTGTTCACCTGGTGCCTGACGAAGCCGTACTTGAATCCCGAGCTCTTCTCTCCGTCGGGGCGCTTGGACGCTTTGGAGCGGGAGGGACCCTGGCCCTTGGCTTTGGATTTCTGCCGGAAGCTCTCGCCGCGCTCCAGGGACGTGCAGGCCTCCTCGCTGGCGTGCGCCTTCTGGTGGGTGGCGAAGAGCTGCTTGTCCAGGAAGCTCTCCCCACACTCGCAGCAGATGTAGGGCCCCTTGTCGGCCGCCGCCTCCTCGGGATCCTTCCTGGCCAAGTCTCTCCCGCGGCGCACGGAGCGCCTCAGCCCGTTGCCCGTGGCCGTTCGCTGCGGCGGGGCCGGCCCGCTCTGGCTCTTGCTGCTCGACTGCATCTCTTCCTCCGGGCTGGAGAAAACCTCTTCCCACTTTCCTGTCAAGGACCTGGAAAGCTCCAGGCTCTCGGAGCCCTCCTCATCGCACGGCTGTTCGTCTGGCAGAGCAGAGACACTCGTGTCATTTGGGGAAGCAAGACTGGGCTGTTATTTACACAGGTCCCTTGGGACACAGGGTGGTTTCTGCTGCGCACACCCAGCTCAGAGCTTGGCACTGACGGGGCTGCGAGTCCAGCTGGGAGCACCTACTCTGTCCTGGGATACAGGTGAGGCCAGAGGGATTTGACTTGGAATCTCAGAATTGTTGAGGTTGGAAAAGGCCTCGGTAATCATTGAGTCCAACCATCCCCCAGCACTGCCAAGGTCACCCCTGACCATATCCCCAAGGGCCACATCCACCTGGATGTTACATCCCTCCAGGGATGAGGACTCCACCAGTGCCCTGGGCAGTCCCAATGTGTAACAGCCCCTTTTGGGGAAGAAATTTTCCTGATTTTCATCCTGAGCCACCCCTGGCACAACCTGCATCCATTCCCTCTCCTCCTGTCCCTGTTCCCTGGGAGCAGAGCCCGACCCCCCCGGCTGTCCCCTCCTGGCAGGGAGCTGTGCAGAGCCAGAAGGTCCCCCTGAGCCTCCTTTTCTGCAGGCTGAGCCCCTTTCCCAACTCCCTCAACTGATCCTCGTGTTCCAGACCCTTCCCCAGCTCCACTTCCTTCTCTGGACACACTCCAGCAACTTCCTGCCTTCAATTATACTGTAATGTAATATTATATGTATAAAATCTAGCCAGAGGAAAAAAGAGGGTTCCTGAAGTAGGACAGGTCTTTAAAAACTTGTGGTTTAGGATAAAGGTCAAAAAAAAAACCAGAGGAAAAGGGAATAAAACTTCTTTTCCTCATGGGCTTGTACAGTGCCTGAGGCTTAAGGATGTCCCATGGTATAAACTGTGACTCAAAGCAACTTCCTGAAATTCTGGAAAAAGCACCATCCAGAAAAGCTGAGCTGCTCCTGGGAATGAGGCTGGGAAGCCAAAAGCACATCTAGGCAAGGGACACTTCCCAAAGCAGCTCAGTGCACTCACATGTACCAGGGACCTCCATGCCCTCCTCTTCCTCAGAGCCTTCGTGGCTTTCAGCCAGAGTCTCTTCATATTTACCCCACGAGCTGTCATCGGGCCCAGGGAAGAAAAACTCTGTGCAAGAGAAAAGAGCAAGAGTTACACTCCAACCTTCCAGCTGCTTTAGAGGATTCCAGGAGGGATGGACACACCAGGTGGGAGACAAGCAGGAAAGCAAAGTCTCCCTGTACGTGAGGAGAGAGCTGACAAAACAGAACAGCCCCACATCTGCCTCCCCCCGAGTCGCAGGAACCTCGTGGCTCACCAGTGCTGGGGTCCGTGGGTGTCTCTCCTCCCTCGGAGTCCTCCTGATCCTCAGCATTGGGATCCTCCCCCTGCTCAATCCGTGTCAGCAGCTCAGGCTTGGAAATGGCAGCGTCTGCACGTAAAAAGAGGATGAGGATGTCTCCCCTGCCCTGGCGGGAGAGCGACTCTGCAGCCTTTGCCCACCGACCTTCCTTTGCTGGGAAATGAACGAGAGAGGCTCAGGAAGCTGCTCTCAGCCCTCTGCCCTGCTCACCTTGCGTGGGCCCTGGATGCAGGAGCACACTCTGCTCAGGTGAGGAGCACCTCCCAGCCTGCAGCGTGAGGAGCACAGTAAGAAAAGGCACCCAGGCTTACCTGCAGGCTCTCCTGTCTTCTCCTCTCCGCTAAGGTCCGCGGATCCATTACAATGGGGACTTCAGCTCGGGGGCAGCACCAGAGCTGCCAGCACTGCCCTCCCCGTGCGGTTCCCTCCAGCCAGGACCGCTCCGTCCTACTCGTCCGTGTCACGGGCTGCTCGTGGATTTTGGTGGGGGAAAGGGGACAATCACCATCTCTCCTTGGGTGGAGAGCAGAAAACTTCACTTCCAGAAATGTGGGAGGCCCTGGGGGTTAAATTCCACCTCTGCTCCGGTGGATCCGTTTGTCTTACACAGGAACCAAGCCCTAAACCTCGTTTCTGAAGGGAAACCTTGGGATGAAGCACAGATACATTTCTCCAAGCCCCAGGCTCAGAGATCCCCAGATCCCCTGCAGCAGGACAGCTGCGTTCCCACGCCTCAGGAGCGGGGATGGGTTTGGAAACAGGAGAATGGAGGCCATGGTTACCCTTCACCTTTCTCCCTGACACACAGGGATTGCAGGAAACCTCTGTTCAAAGAAATAAACGGGGAAAAAGCAAAGCAGAAATGGCTTGGATTGGGCAGAGCTGGATGGCAGGGAGGCAGATGAGCCTGGACTCGGCACAGGGAAGCGTCTGGCTACCAGGGATGGCGTCTACGCTCCCACCCCCGGTCCAGCCAAGGCAAGGTCATTTCTGGAACATGTTGTAAAGGCAACGTGTTCCCCAGAGAGCATTCCCGTGGCCAGGACTGGCAGGAGCGAGCGGAACGCGTTCCTTTGGCTGGGAATGCACTGCCCTGAGCTGCTGAGGGGAAAGCAGGAGGCAGAGCTCGCCCTCAGCTGCTGCTTCTCCCCAGCTCTGCCCCAGCAGATCCCGCAGCACCCGAGCAGGACTCGATCCCTGGGGTTGGACAGAGCATCCAGGCAAATGTCACTTCTCCCTCATGGGAGAGGAAAGGGAAGTCTGCACAACTCCCCATGGAAAGGGCTGGAAGGAACCTCAGAGGCAGGGCACAGGGCACCCTGTGCTGCTCTCAGCAGCCAGCGGGCTGAGGCACCCAGCGCAGTGGATCTGTGGACCTTGGCGTGACAAAGGAGCTTCCCTCTTCCCCAGCTTTGCTTGGATTGAGGGTCCTCTCACTTCCCCTCCTCCTCCTCCTCACAATCCCAGCACTCGTCAGGCTGCAGGGAGCATCAGGGAGCCACCGTCCCTGCGGTGACACTCATGACATCCTTCCACCCTCAGTGTGGCTGTGAGAGCTGAGCTCACTGCCAGGGCTGTGTTACACCTCTCCAAAGCTCACCACCCCCTCCCCAGTCCTGCAGGACCCAGCGCTGCTTCCATCCACCAGTTCCCAGGAAAACTCTGTGCCAGGAGGCTGAGGGCAAACCCTGGCCCATCGTTACCCATGGAGATGACGGCCTCATAGTTGCCCTTCATGATATGCCTGTAGAGCTCCTTCTGCCACTCGTTGAGGCTCTTCCACTCCTCCTCAGAGAAGTTAAACGAGGCGTCGTTGAAGGCCACGGGGACCTGCAAGGAGCAGCACCACGGGGTTTGTTTCTCATTTAAGAAAACACCTGGGGATGTTTTCTCATTCAATTTTCTTGCTCAAACTCCTCAAGTGTTGTGCAGGACAGTCCCAGGCAGGAACATCTGCCCCTTTCCATGTGTCTCATCCCTCAAGGGACATGACAGGGATTTCCCCTGTCACCCGTCTGTCACCTCCCCCTGCTCAGCCTCCTCCTGTCACAGGCTATGCTCCCTGCACAGACTCCTTTTCACCTCCTTTTTGACACAATTCTGCTGCTCATCACCTCTGAACAGCTACTGGGGATGTTCCTAAACTTTCCCAGTCACATGGAGCTGAGCCACAAAATTCCACGTGATCCAAACACAGGAATTTGTGAAATCCCTCCCAGACCACAAGTGCACGAGCATAATCAACACAGCAAGACCTGTGCTTCTGGGTGCTGAAGGGAAGACAGTGATGGGGAGGAGCTATGAACTGCTCTCAGCTCTGCACTGCCCCAAAATGGGGCTGTGAGTGTAGGGATCAGGCTGTGAGTGTAGGGATCAGGCTGTGAGTGTAGGGATCAGGCTGTCAGTGCAGGGATGGGGCTGTGGGTGCCCAGGAGATGCAGCAGTGAGTGCACAGGAGATGGGGCTGTGAGTGCAGGATATGGGGCTGTCAGCACAGGGATGGGGCTGCCAGAGCAGGATATGGGGCGGTCAGAGCAGGATACAGGTCTGCCAATGCAGGATATGGGGCTGTCAGAGCAGGATATGGGGCTGTGAGTGCAGGATATGGGGCTGTCAGAGCAGGGATAGGGCTGTCAGTGCACAGAAGATGGGGCTGTCTGCATAAGGATGGGGCTGTCAGTGCACAGGAGATGGAGCTGTGAGTGCACAGGACATGGGTCTGTACAGGGCATGGGGCTGTGAGTTCATGATATGGTGCTGTGAGCACAGGATATGGGGCTGTGAGCACAGGGCACAGGGTTCTGAGCCCAGCATTTGTGCAGAACAGCCCCATTTTGCAGAGGGGAGCAGCAAACCGTTACCTTGGGGACTTCCCCTTTTGCCCCCGGGGGCAGCCGCAGGATCCAGAAGTTCCTGTTCTTCAGGAGGTTCTCCATGTTCTCCAGGCGCTTCTGCAGCTGCCCATACTCCTGGATAAGGGTGCCCAGTGCCGTCCACTTGCTCTCCAGCTGGTTCCCGAATTCCACCGCCGTCTTCTCGCAGCCGATCAGCTTCGTCTCTGCCATCCTCATCCTGCCCTCCAGGTTCATCAGCTGGGCTGCCTGGGTGTCCACCTTCCTGTCCACGGCCTGGATCTCGGTGACCAGCGTGAGGGAGATCTCGGCGGCCGGCAGCTCGGCCTCGCCGCCGGGGCCCTGCTCGGGGGCGGGCAGCGGCTGTTCCAGGCCCAGCTCCTGGGGCTCCATCATGCACTCCAGCTCCTGAGAGGAGAACGCGCGGCGGTGAGCGCGCCCGCAGAGACCGAGGGGGGGGGGGGGGGGGGGGGGGCGGG